AAAAAATTCACCCGCCAGAACACACTTGGCGACGAGGTATTGGGATTCATACGGTGGAAGAAAAAAAAATTCACCCGCCAGAACACACTTGGCGACGAGGTATTGGGATTCATACGGTGGAAGAAAAATTTTCACCGCCAGAACACACTTGGCGACGAGGTATTGGGATTCATACGGTGGAAGAAAAAAAATTCACCAGCAAGAACACACTTGGGACGAGGTATTGAAGCAATTCATACGGTGGAAGAGAAAAAAATTCACCCGCCAGAACACACTTGGCGACGAGGTATTGGATTCATACGGTGGAAGAAAAAAAATTCACCCGCCAAACACACTTTGGCGGCGAGGTATTGGGATTCATAACGGTGGAAGAGAAAAAAACCGTCAGGGGTCCAGCAAGGTATTGGGATTCATACGGTGGAAGATTCACCCGCCAGAATTCACTTACGAGGTGGAAAAAAAAAAAAAATTCACCAGAAGAACACACTTGGCGACGAGGTAATGGGATTCATACGGTGGAAAAAAAAAATTCACCCGCCAGAACACACTTGGCGACGAGGTAGCAAGATTCATACGGTGGAAAAAAAAAAATTCACCCAAGAACACTTGGCGAGAATGGGATTCATACGGTGGGAAGGAAAAAAATTCACCCGTAGAAAATCACTTGGCGACGAATGGATTGGGAGAATGAGAAAAATTGGGCCAGAACACACTTGGCGACGAATGGTGAAATATGGTGGAAGAAAAAAAACCCGCCAGAACACACTTGGCGAAGATCATTGGGAGAGGGAAAAAATGGAACCTTTGTGTCAGCCAGAAACACACTTGGCGACTGAGAATGGGGATTAATACATTGGAAGGAAAAAAAAATTCAGCTCCATAGACAGACAAGATCCCAGACCGAAGGGATTGAGGGATTCAGCAAGTGGAAGAGAAAAAAAATTCACCCGCCAGAAACATTGCGAAGGAAAAAAAGGATTCAGGGTGGAAGAAAAAATTCACCCGCCAGAACACACTTGGCGAGAAGGTATTGGAAGGATTGGGTGGAAAAAAAGCGTCAGGGGTCCAGAACACACTTCTTGGCGACGACAGAATGGATTCATACGGTGGAAGAGAAAAAGCTCACTTGCCAGAACACACTTGGCGACGAGGTATTGGAAGGAAAAAAAGCGTGAGGGGTCCAAAAAAAATCACCCGCCAGACCGAATGGACCTTTGTATTGGGAAGCTCACTTGAAGAATGGGCCATTCAAGATTGGAAGGAAAAAAAAAGCGTCAGGGGTCCAGCAAGATCAGCAGACAGAATGGAGGTATTGGGATTTGTGTCACCCAAGCTCACTTGGCAGAATGGGCCAGTAAGATTGGAAGGAAAAAAAAGCAAGTCAGACAGAATGGGGTCCAGTCAAGATCATACAGGAAGAAAAAAAATGGACCTTTGTGTCAACAAGCTCACTTGGCAAAAAATGGGCCAGAAAGATTGGCAGAAAAAAAAATTGGAAGATCAGCAGAAAAAAACTTTGCAAAAAGATTGGAAGAAAAAAAGGGGTCATTCATTGGAAAGATCAGGGGTCCAGAAAGACAGCGACAGAATGGACATACGGTCAGCAAGCTCACTTGGTAGAATGGGCCAGTAAGATTGGCAGGAAAAAAAGGGTCAGGGGTCCAGCAGGATCAGCACACAGAATGGACCTTTGTGTCCGAAAGCTCACTTGATAGAATGGGCCAGTAAGATTGGAAGAAAAAAAAGGGTCCGGGGTCCAGCAAGATCAGTAGACAGAATGGACCTTTGTGTCAGCAAGCTCACTTGGCAGAAAGGTCTAGTAAGGTTGGCAGAAAAAAAAGGCTCAGGGGTCCAGCAAGATCAGCAGACAGAATGGACCTTTGTGTCAGCAAGCTCACTTGGTAGAATGGGCCAGTAAGATTGGCAGAAGAAAAAGGGTCAGGGGTCCAGCAGGATCAGCAGACAGAATGGACCTTTGTGTCTGAAAGCTCACTTGATAGAATGGGCCAGTAAGATTGGAAGAAAAAAAAGGGTCCGGGGTCCAGCAAGATCAGTAGACAGAATGGACATTTGTCTCAGCAAGCTCACTTGGCAGAATGGGCCAGTAAGTTTGGAAGAAAAAAAATGGTCAGGGGTCCAGCAATATCAGCAGACAGAATGGACCTTTGTGTCAGCAAGCTCACTTGGCAGAATGGGCTGAAAAAAAAAGTGGTCCACCAAGGCAGAAGAATGGACCTTTGTGTCAGCAAGCTCACTTGGCAGAATGGGCTAGAAATATTGGCAGAAAAATGGGCCAGGTTTTCAGGGAGCTCGGGAGACAAATAGGGCCTTTGTGTCAGCAAGCTCACTTGGCAGAATGGTCCAGTAAGATTGGCAGAACAAAAGCGTCAGGTGTCCAGCAAGATCAGCAGACAGCATGGACCTTTGTGTCAGCAAGCTCACTTGGCAGAATGGGCCAGTAAGATTGGAAGAAAAAAAGGGTCAGTGGTCCAGCAAGATCAGCAGACAGAATGGACCTTTGTGTCAGCAAGGACACTTGGCAGAATGGGCCAGTAATATTGGAAGGAATGGGCCAGGCTCAGGGTTAAAGATGGGGCAGGGACCTTTGTGTCAGCAAGCTCACAAATGGGCCCTTTGGCAGAAAAAAAAAGTGTCAGGGGTCAGTATCAGCAGACAGAATGGACATTTAGTCCAAAATAGTCCAGTAAGATTGGCAGAAAAAATGGGTCCAGGGTCCAAGCAAGATCAGCAGACAGAATGGACATTTGTGTCAGCAAGCTCACTTGGCAGAATGGGCCAAAAATATTGGAAGCCAAAAAAAAGGTCAGGGATCCAGCAAGATCAGCAGACAGAATGGACTTTTGTGTCAGCAAGCTCACTTGGCAGAATGGGCCAGTAAGTTTGGCAGAAAAAAAAGGCTCGGGCGTCCAGCAAGATCAGCAGATAGAATTGACCTTTGTGTCATCAAGCTCACTTGGCAGAATGGGCTAGTAAGTTTGGCAGAAAAAAGGGCCAGTGTTCCAGTGAGCTCGGGAGACAAATAGGGCCTTTCTCTCAGCCAGCTCACGTGGCAGAATGGGCCAGTAATTTTGGAAGAAAAAAAAGGGTCAGGGGTCCAGCAAGATCAGTAGACTGAATGGACCTTTGTGTCAGCAAGCTCACTTGGCACAATGGGCAAGTAAGATTGGCAGAAAAAAGGGTCATGGGTCCAGCAAGATCAGCAGACAGAATGGACCTCTGTGTCAGCAAGCTCATTTGGCAGAATGGGCTAGTAAGATTGGAAGAAAAAAGGGCTAGGATTCCAGCGAACTCGGCAGACAAATAGGGCTTTTGTGTCTGCAAACTTACTTGGCAGTATGGGCCAGTAAGATTGGCAGAACAAAAGTGTCATTTGTCCATTACGATCAGCAGACAGAATGGACCTTTGTAAGGGACAGTATGATTGGCAGAAAAAAAGGGTCAGGGGTCCAACAAGGTCAGCAGACAGAATGATCCTTTGTGTCAGCAAGCTCACTTGGCAGAATGGACCAGTAATTTTGGAAGAAAAAAATGGTCAGGGTTACAGCAAGATCAACAGACAGAATGGACCTTTGTGTCAGCAAGCTCACTTGGCAGAATGGGCCAGTAAGTTTGGCAGAAAAAATAGGGTCAGGGGTCCAGAAAAGATCAGTAGACAGAATGGACGTTTGTGTCAGAAAGCTCACTTGGCAGGATGGGCCAATAAGATCGGCAGAAAAAAAAGGGTCAGGTGTCCAGCAAGATCAGTAGACAGAATGCACCTTTGTGTCAGAAAGCTCAGTTGGCAGAATGGGCCAATAAGATTGGCAGAAAAAAAGGGTAAGGTGTCCAGCAAGATCAGCAGACAGAATGGACCTTTGTGTCAGCAAGCTCACTTGGCAGAATGGGCTAGTAAGATTGGCAGTAAAAAGAGCCAGTGTTCGAGCGAACTCGGGAGACAAATAGGGCTTTGTGTCAGCAAGCTTACTTGGAAGAATGGGCCAGTAAGATTGGCAGAACAAAAGGGTCAGTTGTCCATCACGATCAGCAGACAGAATGGACCGTTGCAAGGGCCAGTATGATTGGCAGAAAAAAAGGTTCAGTGGTCCAACAAGGTCAGCAGACAGAATGATCCTTTGTCTCAGCAAGCTCACTTGACAGAATGCGCCATTAAGTTTGGCTCAGGTGTCCAGCAAGATCAAAAAGTCAGCAAAGCTCACTTGGCAGAATGCGCCATTAAGTTTGGCAGAAAAAAAGCGTCAGGGGTCCAGAAAGATCAGCAGACAGAATGGACCTTTGTGTCAGACAGCTCACTTGGCAGAATGGGCTAGTAAGATTGGCAGTAAAAAGAGCCAGTCTTCGAGCGAGCTCGGGAGACAAATAGGGCTTTGTGTCAGCAAGCTCACTTGGCAGAATGGGCTAGTAAGATTGGCAGAAAAAAGGGTCAGGGTTCCAGGGAGCTCGGGAGACAGAATGGACCTTTGTGTCAGTAAGCTCTCTTGGCACAATGGCCCAGTAAGTTTGGCAGAAAAAAAGGGTCAGGGGTCAAGCAAGATCAGTAGACAGAATGGACCTTTGTGTCAGAAAGCTCACTTGCCAGGATGGGACAATAAGATTGGCAAAAAAAAGGGTCAGGGTTCCAGCAAGATCAGTAGACAGAATGGACCTTTGTGTCAGCCAGCTCACTTGGCAGAATGGGCCAGTAAGATTGGTAGAAAAAAAAGGGTCAGGGGTCCAGCAAGATCCGCAGACAAAATGGACCTTTGTGTCAGGAAGCTCACTTGGCAGAATGGGCCAGTAAGATTGGCAGAAAAAAACGGATCAGGGGTCCAGCAAGATCAGCAGACAAAATGGACCTTTGTGTCAGCAAGCTCACTTAGTAGAAAGGGCCAGTAAGATTGGAAAAAAAATGGGTCAGGTGTCCAGCTAGATCAGCAGACAAAATGGACCTTTGTGTCAGCAAGCTCACTTGGCAGAAAGGTCCAGTTACCTCTGTGGGGAGAATGTGCCTGGGGTCCAAACTTGGCGGAAATGGTCTGGAGTCCAGCAACTCTTCCTTTTCTCTTTCAGTACCTGATCCTCTAATTATCATTTACTTTCCTGTGGTAAGTGACAAGATGTCTCGCGTGGTATGGGCACCTCCAACCAAACCCAATGACATTATCCTCGCGTATCGAGTGTCCTATGTCCTTCAAATTAAGCTTAGCAACACGCAAGAAATTTACACAGAAGTGAATGCAACTGTGCACGAATTTACAGCATCTGGCCTCTTGAGAGAAACCTATTCCAACTTTAGTGTGGCAGCCAAAACGAATAGTGGATGGGGAAAACCAGCCATCGTCCAAGTCTTCAGAATGAAGGATAGATGTAAGTAAATTTAACATATGTCACTGGCATGGAAAATAGAATCAGAAAAGGATGAATGAGGAAAGAGGGCTAAGAAAATTTAACACTGACAGCACATAATGGAGGGAAGGCTTGGAAACTCTGATACTCTCAAGACAGACTGAAGGCAAAAGAGACAGAGGAAAACGTATAACCTACTTAGTTAATTTGAGTAAATGTATGGCGGGACAATGTTTATGAGAAAATAACAGAATGCCAAGATTTATTAAGAGCCAACAGGGACGGAAAGCTGGGAAGAGCCATGGCCGCTTATGTCCTGAGGGAAGACGGCACACAAAAAAGGCGCCGATAGCAGCTTAGCGAACCTTCGATTATCGGTGTATATATTTTCATAATGGATGTATCTCAATCGTTAGAACAACAAATGGTTTTAATTAGAGTTATGATATACTGGGTTTGCTTATGTGTTCCTTTGACGAGAAAAGAGAAATGCATGCTTCGATAGGAATATCCGATTTGGAAATTAGAGGAGGAATGAAAAAGCTGACAGAACAATTGGCATCGTAGCATCTATCTATCTATCTATCTATCTATCTATCTATCTATGTCAGTCTCATCTTTCTGTCTTTCTTCCGTCCTTCCTTCTTTCTTTCTTTCACAGTCTTTCTTATATTATTCATCTATCTATCTATCTATCTATCTATCTTTCTATCCAGTTTTCTTTCTTTTCTTTCTTTCTTTTCTTTCTTTCTATCTTCATTCTATCTATCTATCTATCTATCTATCTATCGATCTGAGTCTGTTTCATCTTTCTTTCATTCTATCTATCTATCTATCTATCTATCTATCTATCTATCTATCTATCTATGTCAGTCTCTTTCTTTCTTTCTTTCTTTCTTTCTTTCTATTCTATCTATCTCTCTCTCTATCTATCTATCTATCATATCATCTATCTATCTATGTCAGTCTCGTCTTTCTGTCTTTCTTCTCGTCCTTCCTTCTTTTCTTTTTTTCACATTCTATTCTTTATCTATCTATCTATCTATCTATCTATCTATCTATTTCTTTCTTTCTCTGTCAGTCTGTCTTTCTGTCTTTCTTCCGTCTATCTATCTTCTTTTCTTTCTTTTCATTCTATTCTTTAATATCTATCTATCTATCTATCATATCTATCTATCTATTCATCTATATCGGTCTCATCTTTCTGTCTTCATCTTTCTTTTTCTTTCTTTCTTTCTTTCTTTCTTTCACATTTCTATTCTTATATCTATCTATCTATCTATCTATCTATCTATCTATCTATCTATGTCAGTCTCATCTTTCTGTCTTTCTTCCGTCCTTCCTTCTTTTCTTTCTTTCACATTCTATTCTTATATCTATCTATCTATCTATCTATCTATCTATCTATCTATCTATCTATCTATCTATCTATGTCAGTCTCATCTTTCTGTCTTTCTTCCGTCCTTCCTTCTTTTCTTTCTTTCACATTCTATTCTTATATCTATCTATCTATCTATCTATCTATCTATCTATCTATCTATCTATGTCAGTCTCTTTCTTTCTTTCTTTCTTTCTTTCTTTCTTTCACATTCTATTCTTATATCTATCTATCTATCTATCTATCTATCTATCTATCTATCTATCTATGTCAGTCTCATCTTTCTGTCTTTCTTCCGTCCTTCCTTCTTTTCTTTCTTTCACATTCTATTCTTATATCTATCTATCTATCTATCTATCTATCTATCTATCTATCTATGTCAGTCTCATCTTTCTGTCTTTCTTCCGTCCTTCCTTCTTTTCTTTCTTTCACATTCTATTCTTATATCTATCTATCTATCTATCTATCTATCTATCTATCTATCTATCTATGTCAGTCTCATCTATCTATTTCTTCCGTCCTTCCTTCTTCTTTATCATTCTATTATATATATATATCTATATCTATATATATATCTATATCTAAATCTATATAGATTTATGTTCTCATCTTTATATCTCTTCAGTGATCCTTGTTTTAGGTAAATATATAAATCTATTTTATATCTATCAATCTATCTAAAAGTCTATTTTTATTCTATAAATCAATCTTTTGTCTTTCTTCATACCTACATTTCTTTTGTTTTATACATTCTACACTATCTATCTATATATCTATATTATCTATATATGTTTATATATATATATATATCTATCTATCTAATAATCTATCAATCTATCTATAATAGTAATTTATTATCTATCTTCAATTTCATTTCTTTCTAAAAAACATGCAACACACTTTCTATCTCTCTTTCTCGATATCTATTATCTATCTATCGGGATCTGTTATTATCTATCTATCAGTTCTAGTCAGTTATATCCATTATGGATCAATTTCTTTAACCATTTTTATCATTTAATAGTTATATCACCAAATCTATCCCATATCATCTATATATATATTATATTTATATTATCACCCTATTTTGTCTTTATATTTTATTTTTATCCATACTGAATCAGATGTATCTATAAAAATATATATATATATATATATATTTTCAAATAAATAAAAGCAACGTTGACATTTATCAGCGGACTTACAATAAATAAAAAAAAATAATAAAAAATAAAGTAAAAATGTATGACTGCCTGAAACTTGCAATTAAACTTATGTTGGCGTTAAATTCATCTCTGTGTGTGTACATTGTGTCGCCTGTGTATATGGTTATATGTAAGTCTTTTTGTGCATAATGTGTATTGTTGTTTTGCGTTAATATGTGTCCGTTTGTGAATTTATATACGTATTTATTGCAATCTAATGTGAATTTACTATGTATGTTTAAATTTATATATATATATATATATATATATATATATACGGTTTTTACATCTAATATATATTGTTTGCCCATGGAAAAAAAACAAAAAAAAAACAATGTTGTTATTTTTTTAAAAATTACGGAACGTTGAGGTCATTTAATAAAAGTTTAGGCGAATGATAAATAGCTTCCAGGATATGAAATTTAATTTCTAATTTTTTTTAAATATAAATCGATACTCCGTATGAGTTAAAACAAATTCCATTCATATAAAAAAATTATTCCGTTTATTAAATTATGTAGAAATTATTCCATAATGGGAAATATTTGGAATCGCCGTTTTGCTATAAATAAATATGTGTGGGTGCGACATAATGGATAATGGCTCACTCGAATCGAATCCTAAAAAATTGATTCCAAAACACAGAAGAATTTTTAGATTCACTTACGTTAACATAATTTAGAAAGCTAGAACCCACCATTTTTTCCTTGCATCGTGTTCCCTCATTGATGTTATATGTTTCGAATTGTATCACTAAACCATTAAATATGTAAAGAAAATTATTGTAATATGAGTCAGCGGTATAAACCCATATGATACCTGAAAACCAATATTCTTCCCATTGGATTCATGACTAGCTATTCAGATTTCGTCAACAGTTTTTGTAAAGATTTTTTTGTTACAGAAATATGATTGCCAAAAGGCTATGTCAACTCAGTTCAAATGGCTATTAAGAGAAGGACCTTGTAAGTTTCAACCACGTTGAATTGACTGAATCCTCGTTCATTGAATCTCCATCCGTGCTAAAATAGGGGAAACTCAATTTGACTTCATTGGAAGCTTAAAAAGGATTTGACCAATTCAATCTAATTAGCTAAAAAACGGCTGCTTTGAAAGAATCTAAACAAAAGGGAACAATCGTCTACATTGTTTTCATATTTCAGCATTTCTCAGTTCATTATTCGACGTTGTTTAATGCCGATTTTATGATAGATTGCAAAAAAAAAACGTTTTAAAAGATCAGGTTCAATAGATATTGCCGTGGGAAAATAAGACAGATATTTTATATTTTAAAATGAATTTTAGAGACAATACTTTGACACTAGATACGCAATCTTCAATTCGGAAGAGATTGAGAAGATAAGATTAAAGAGACATGTGTTTGAGGAAAGGATACAAGATTTTAAAATTTTTAACCAATTTACTATCAGATGTCGATTGACATTAGGAAAATTTAAAGGAGAATCATTAATAACTAGAGGAGGTGGTAGTTCCAGAGACAGGAAGTTTGAGAGAAGAATCTGTTATAGTAAAAGAAAACGGGTTTATTCTATCTTAATGAATTTTGACAGTGAAATTTTGGACCAAGAAAATCTCTCTTATATCTCGAAAATTTTCATTTAAATTTAACCTTATATAATGTATTCGTCGGAAAGTTACAATGAAAAAACTTGTAGAAGAGACAGAGGAAGTTTTTTCGTCTAATTGGAAATTTTATATAATTACAGACACTGGTATAAGGAGTTTTAAACATTTATTTATAAAGTAAATATCCGTATTTTTAAATATTTGATTACCTAAAATATTATGACGTACAGCGGGGACTATAGACCAGATATGACAGTAATATTCCATTAAATGAACAGACGGTTATTTATAAATTTGAAGGATGGACAGATGAAAAAAAAACAAAAACTTTGGCTATCTAAAAAAGGCAAGAAATCAAAAAGTTATTGATTGATTTTACAATTGATTTTGAAATTGTCATAACCAAATTTATAACAAATATTCAGTGAACAAACGGTTTTGCATAAACTGTAAAGATAGAAAGGAAAAGAAAATGTCCAGTATTTAGAAAAATATTCTAGTTCAGAAATGAAACTGGATATAAAAGTTTAAGTTATAATAATAAGTGGATTAAATGGCAAGAAGAAAAAAAATAACAATTTGAAGACATTCAAATTAACCAAAGGATACAAGATAAACCAGCATTAAGCTTTAAATCAATAAAAATAGTACTTTAAGTAGACATCACAAAGGGAAACGTGAAAAGACATCGACAAATATTATTAAACGATTTCTAATAAAAAAAAGATATTTTTTTCTGAATTAATGGTAGATTCCATTTAAATATAATTATTAGTAAATTTTAAATCCTTCTGGCTTTTTGGAATAATAATATTGATATACGTAAAAACATATTAAATATAATCAAAATTATCTATATATATATATATATATATATATATATATATATATATATATATAATCCATTGCATAAATTTTAAATTTAAATATAAATAAAACAAATATATGATAATGTGTGTTTTGATTGTAAAATGTAGAATATATATTTTTAAAAAATACTTAAGTTGCTTGAAAAAATATTAATTTTTTATTATCAGAAAATATATATGTCTTTTTTAAAATGGCCGCCTTTATATAATTATCACATTCAAACGTATACGGAATAGTTTTTGTTTTGGAGTAATATAGCAGCTTAAATGAGGTTTCATCGCCTTTTTCAGATGGATTTTTTTCATTTCCTTTATAGTAAATACCATTGGGGAATCCATATTTATTTTTATTTGTTTTGGTGACGAATTGAACCATTGACGGTGTAGTATTTTACAGAAATCGTGAGGCATGCACCCCAAATTGTTAATGGCTGTTAAGGAGAAAGCTATAGAAACGACCTGTGGACTAATCTTCATATTATAACTCTTTGGGAACAAACGACCGCAATATAATATTTAAATATATATAATTTAGTTTTATAAATATATAAAATTATGAAAATTTATATCAAAAGATTTATATTTATATATATATATAGGTTAAATATAGGAAATGTATAAAAATATACAAACAATTTTGTTGATAATTTATAAAATTAAAACGAATTGAAGAAACCATACTATAAATAATAAAATTAGAGCATATTTGAATGTCTAATATGAGATAATTAATTTTGTTTGTCTGATATATCCATATATTTTTTACTTTCTTGGTTAAACATTAAAATGTTTTCTTATATATATTTAAAATATATAAACAACACAATGGTTTATATATATCATCTATACTGTGTCACGGACCTTATTTACATTGAACAATCCATTCCAATATAGGAAAAACATCCCGAAATATCAAATTGGTTATCAAATTAATATCCATTGCTTTATTGACAATTTTATATATATATAAATATATATATATATATATATATATATATATATACAGTGTATCACAAAAGTGAGTACACCCTCACATTTCTTCAAATATTTAAGTATATCTCTTCATGGGACAACACTGACAAAATGACACTTTGACACAATGAAAAGTAGTCTGTCTGCAGCATATATAACAGAGTTAATTTATTTTTCCTCAAAATAACTCAAAATATAGCCATTAAAAGCTAAATCCCTGGCAACAAAAGTGAGTACACCCCTTAGGAAAAGTTGTCAATATTAACATACAACATGTCAACTGTCAATATTTTGTGTGGCCACCATCATTATCCAAAACTGCCTTTACTCTCCTGGGCATGGAGTTTACCAGAGCTTCACAGGTAGTCACTGGAATGCTCTTCCACTCCTCAATGACGACGTCGCGGAGCTGGCGGATATTTGAGACTCTGCGCACCTCCACCTTCTGCTTGAGGATGGCCCAAAGATGTTCTATTGGGTTCAAGTCTGGAGACATGCTTGGCCAGTCCATCACCTTTACCCTCAGCCTCTTCAGTAAAGCAGTGGTTGTCTTGGATGTGTGTTTGGGGTCATTGTCATGTTGGAACACTGCTCTGCGACCCAGTTTCTGGAGGGAGGGGATCATGCTCTGCTGCAGTATTTCACAGTACATGTTGGAGTTCATGTTTCCCTCAATGAAATGTAACCCTCCAATACCTGCAGCACTCATGCAGCCCCAGACCATGACATTCCCACCACCATGCTTGACTGTAGGCATGACACACTTATCTTTGGAACTCCTCATCTGGTCGCCGCCACACATGCTTAAGGCCATCAGAACCAAACAAATTAAATTTCGTCTCATCAGACCATGGGACATGGTTCCAGTAATCTATGGGTTTTGTTGACATGTCTTCAGCAAACTGTTTGCGGGCTTTCTTGTGTATTGCCTTCAGAAGAGGCTTCCTCCTGGGGTGACAGCCATGCACACCAATTTGATGTAGTGTGCGGCGTATGGTCTGAACACTAACA